TTCTGTTGGACAGAAATTACCTTTTTCCCAATTCTCAGAGTAGTATTTGAAGTCTAATCTGCTCTTTTTGTTGTTGTTTCCCCAGCATCATCTTTTTGCCACTACAGCGTCTCTTTGGTGGAAAGAAGTGACCTGGAAGTACTAATTGTTTGGGAAAGGTGAATTTTTAGCATGAATGTTGGGTTGCATTGTTTTCTTCTGTAATTCAGCTTTTCACACTGCTTGTCTCAGCTGTTAAACGCTTTAAATGAAATTCTACTTTGTTCATGTTTTCAAAGTGACATTCTGAAGATGTTGGGTTAGAACACCTTTTTCTTCACAAGTTTTCTTCACAACTCTTTGAAAATAGAGCAACAGACTTTAAGATCTTGATCCTTGAGTGTCATAAATTGTGAGTTTAACATTATGTGATATTCTAATAAAACAAGCATCAACTTTGAACTGTGTGTTATTTTAATTAGCTGGGGATAGGCATTCTTTTAACTTAAGAAAGCATCTTGTTCTTGATGCAAGTGGCCTTCTTTTGAAAGGAAGGGGAGGGTTACTTGAAAAGGAACAAGCAGAAACAAACAAGCCCTGCTCTTTCCTGGGGGAACTCTTCCCTCTTTTCCTCCTGGAATCCCATAAATGCTGGTGAAAGCCAGACACTTACCGGGGTACTTGTGGCACTCATGCTGGTTGGCAGAGTTGCTGCTGGTGAGGAGTTGGTAGTGGCTGACAGCAAAATTTAAATGTATCACCTAAGTATGTGTGAAGTGGCTTGTGAAACTCAAACTGTGAACACTTTTGCCCTCTGTCTTACAAGAGGGAGAGGAAATTATTAGAGTTAATAATAATAATAAACAGATTTTTACAGAGAGGTGTGAAAAGTAATTGAGAATGAAATCCAGAAATAGGAAAATGTAAGAGTTTTACATGCATAACAGAGAATCAAGAATCATTCTGCAAACAGATGGGAATTGGGTATGTCAAGGGTGGAATGGGAGCTTTGGACAAGGGTTATCTGGGAAACCTTCCTGTTGAGTCATGAGGCACAAAAAAGATCCCCTAAACTCAGAGAGGATCTGGGTACTCCTGGATCCAATCCCAGCCCCAGATGTGGTCAATGGATTATGTCTAAAGGATTGGTTAGGTGTAATTGAGCCCTTATGTGACTTTGTCCTGCAGGATTAAGGATGGCAAACCAAATGAATTTGTATGACTAAAATACGTATTTATTTAAATTTATTATTATAACTATTAGAATAAGATACTTTAATCAGAATTCTGTACTACATACTATAGATAGTGATAACTACTAGTATAGTGCTCTATTTATTAAATCAATCACTTCAAAGCTAACTGGATAATTGCTAAGTAGAGATTGATGTTACCCATATGAACAACTGTGGGCAAATCTCTTCTACTCAGCCTCAAGGAGTGACCTTGAGGGGCAGCCCCACTCAAGGCAGGAATCTCCACACACACTCCCAGAAGGGGTGTTTTAGAAGACTCTTCCATTAAAAAGCAGGACTAGTCTTGTATGGTATAAAGCCATGGACTGTCAGTCAGGTGTTGCTAGGTGAGCTGTGTCAGCTCAGCAGCTTCAGATAAGCTATTGACATTGTCATTTTATCAGGAGCTGTGTCTGCCACATCCTCACTGGTGGCAGATCCTGTCAGGAAACATTATTCTTCATATCCCCAGAATATTTAACTTGATGAGTCTGTCTGATCTCAGCATCCTTCAACACCAAATGCAGCATGATCTCCTCTCACTTCTGCTAATAGGGTACTGGTTGATTTGGTTTACTCCTGCTTAGGGCAGAGCATCTTGCTACGGCATGTCAGGATGCAGCTGACAGTACAAGACAGAGTGAGAGCAATGGGCAAGGCACTGGTAGGGAGTGGGTAGGAATAAAGTCAGTTCCCACTTGAACACTTGGTGTTTTTAAGGTGGATTTCTTTGTTTAGTATCAACATTGCTTGTTCTTCACAAAGCTGCTACAATATGCATTTGACATTAAAGTTTCGTTAGAAGGCTGCAAGGAAGATCCTGCACAGAAATATGGCATGATGATCCTAACAGGAACAGTTTCCTGCACATGACATGCTGGCATGGATCCAGGGTGGCTCGGGGACTGCGGTTTGTGTCAGCCACAGTGCAGGTACTTGGCTGCTTAGAAGTCTTTTCCAACCTAAACCTATCATTCTTCAATTCTGTGGTCCTAAATGAGAGTACAGGGAAGAAAAAAGATCTACATTGCTTCTTGATGCCAGTTTCTCCCTTGAGGTGTCTTTCATAACTGTGAAGTAATCAATTTTGAATATTTAAGTTTCTGTGTTTGCTAGCAAACTTTAACCAGGAAATATGAGGGAAGCAATGAAGTACTGTGTACTACTAAACCTGTTTCAAAGTTTAGTATGTGCTAATTAGAGAAACAGGGCAAGCTGCAGCATTACACACAATCAAATACAGTAAGTAGCCTCTGACCCTGAGGCATCTCATTTTGGTGTCTAGGTGTTTTTAGGTCTCTCTGCATGAACAGAAAAAAGGCATAGTGAAACAGCAAAACCAGGAAAGGGTAGAAACAAAGAAGTTCATCTTGTGTACCACTAGGCATGTTCACAGTTTGCATGGGTCTCATCACCCAGGGTCCATCAGCAGCTGGTGGAGAGAGGCAGGCAGTTCTCAGGTACGATTCGTCCCATTCTTGGGAAAAATAATTTTGAAACCATAAGCCTTCTCAGCCTAAAAGGTGTCAGTGGATCAAAGCCAATTTTACTAGCTGGACAGTTTACTCAATGGTTATAAAACCAGCTTATCATTTGGGTCACTCAAGCCAGTGGAAAAAATACCACATTTCACTAAAAGGACAAAATAACTTAGTATCACTGAGGACAAAGAATCAGGTCTCCAGCTTATGTGAAATTAATGTAGCTCGAGCAAAGACCAAGCAGACAAGATGATCTATGAATAATGCCAAGCTGATCTGCAGGGGAAGTCAGTGCCATTTCTGGAACTACCAGGACACCACAGCATCCCTACTTCTCTATGGAACAGTTCCATGGAAGGGAAGGGGTTCAGTGTTTGGACACTACCAAGGTGCATCCCCTTAGACTTCCCCTCAGCTGTGGTTTTGTTTCTGCCTCCACCTCCAACACAGGCACCCCCAGGAACAGGGAAGAGAAACTGCACCTGAGGGAGGAGCAGTGGACTGGGGATATTGTGGGGGGGAGATGTCTCTGGTTGCCCCTTTGTCCCCCCAGCACTGGTCACTGTTCCCACACACAGGAGACCCTTGGGGATGGGGACAGTTTCTGCACCAAAGCTGGTGAGAAGGAAAGGGGAGTGTCAAGCCCAGCCCCAGGCCCTCCCCGGGTTATTTAGGACAGAGTTGGTGCTCCCCAGCAGTGTGGGGTATAGGAAACCAGAGAGGCAACTCCCAAGCCCCATGGCATGGATAGAGCTCCATGGAAAGGGGGAAGTTGCTCATCCACCTGCAACCCCCTGGAATGGGCCCCGGTGAGGAGACCATTGTCCCATCCCCATTCCAGCTTGAGGATCCTGCCCAGCCAAGTACCACTGCTCCAAGCATCTGATGACTGTCAGTGGGATACAGTCCCTTCCAGGCCTTGCAGCCCAGCTCTCCTTTTGGGGACCATCACACTACAGCTGCTCCAGCACATCCACCCTCCCAGTTCCTGGAGGAGCTGCTTCCTCCAGCCCTGCCTGTCCCCATCCCTGACCCTGTGGTCCAGTCTTGAACTCTTAATCACCTCAACCCAGGATCAGGCCAGCAGTGCTCGGGGGGGTCAAAAGATATCACCATCACCTCCTCTCCATCACTCACCCCCCACCCCCACCCCAGAGTGTCCAAGGCCATGGTCTGTGTGTGCCTGGTGCAGCTCTGCTCCTGCAGGTTTGCTGCATCACTGGCTTCTACCATCCGTGTGATCTGGCTGTGGGATGGCTGGGAGGTGACAAAGAGGCATGGGACTGGCACACAGTCTGGGGCACAAAGAGCCCAGATGTGAAGCCATATGGTGGGAACAGGGTTTACCTCCTGCCATGGTTTAGGAGTGGTATTCCCTGATTTAGTGTTCCCACTGAAACCCCCCAGACCATGCACCACTCGGTCACTCCTCACCTCCTGCCCTGCGGTGGCATGGAGGGAACCGGAGGCGCAAAAGGTAAAGATCACGGGTTGAGATAAGGACAATTAACTAAAAGAATCAATGAAGTAAGAAAATGAACAGTAACAACAACTATATTAATAGCAGAGTGTACAAGATAGGCAAAGGATTCACACATGATCGCTCACCACATGGAGCTGGCACTTCCCCAATGCAAACACTGCATGACCAAATTGAAGCCAGAACCAAGGGCACCCACATCCCCTCCCTCTGTCCCCTCTGCTTGGCATGAGGTGGTAGTGAATAACCCCAGGGTCCTTGTGTGCCCTCCCTGGCTGCTGCAGAAGTCAAACCTGTCCTGGCTGGAAGCAGGACCCCTCCCCTGTGAGGGAGAGCCATGTCAGTGTGAACCCACCTGGCAGCAGAGTCGATGGCAGTGTCTGCTCTATGCAGGGTCAGACATGCCAGGCAGGAGTGGCAGCAAGGGACACTCCCTCCCATCGGGGCAGTGAATGCAGTTCATGGCCAGGTGACATGTTTGCCTGAAAGGGGGGTAGAAAAGGGTGAATTCACCCACATTGCCCTGTTTGTCAAGGTGCTGCTGCAGCCACGAGGGCCCACTCCTGTAGGCAGTGGGATGACCTTGCTCACACCCAAATTCCCCCAGCACTCACAGCCATATTCAGGATGCCTCAGCCCACTGCAAGTGGGAACCTCAGAGCCCTCCTCAAAACCTCACTGCCAGCTCCATTGGCTGCCAGGACCATCAGCACCATCGGAGCTGCCCGGGCAGAGCCAACCTGAGGAGACCTCTGCAGCCACATCTGTCACAGCCTCCTGCTGTGGCACCCACTACTGCACACTTGGGACCTCATCACTGGCACCATGCAGCCCCCTTGCTGCTGCCTCTTCCTCCTCCTTCTGAACCTCTTCCTCCTTCCTGAGACATGGGCAAACCTGGAGGGTAAGTGGGAGCCCTGGCTCATCCACACCTGCTCCTATGCCCCCATGTGACTCCATGGGTGAGAGGCTTCCTGCTCCCCACTTGTCTTGGTCACTTGCTTCCTCACCCATCCTTGTCCCCTGGCTCCACAGCTCCTCCCTGGTGGGGGATGCAGCCGCCCTAGGTGAGTGCAGGGGGTAGGAGATTGGGCTGCCAAGGGTTGTAGGGGGCTTATGTGGGACCCATGGATCCCTGCAACCCCAAGGATGCATCCCTCAGCCCCTCCACTTTCCCTGGCCTTCTCTTCCCACTCACATCTCCTCCCTGCCAACCTATGTCTTGTGCAGAGACCTTCACTGTCCGGCTGCTCCAGACTACCACCTTCCAAAACACCTCCTTCGTGTACACGGAGGGGCTGGGCCTTCTGCAAGACATCGAGCTCGGTTCTCTTGATAAGCACACATGGTCCATCCACTTCTACCAGCCCTGGGTGCGCCCAGCCCTGCCCCGCAGTGACTGGGACACCATTGATAACCTGCTCAAGATCTATTTGCAGCAGTTCAGCAACATGATCAATGAAGGGGCCATGCAGAGGGATGTTCCCTGTGAGTATCCAGGCTTCACTGCATCCCCTCTCTGAACAGGTGCTGGGAACTGGGGAAGGATCTGGCAGTGCTGGCACTGTATAGGGGACACTGACCATGTCTGCAGGAAGGCAGTTGCAGCCCCTCATGCAACCTCTCTCTCCTCTCTGCCCCTCCAGACCCCTTTGTGGCCCAATGCATGGCAGGCTGTGAGCTCTACCCCAACAGGACCTCCCGGGCCTTTGCCTATGTGGGTTACAATGGACAGGACTTCCTCAGCTTCAACACAGACAATGTCAGCTGGACCCTATCCCAGGACACCGACCTGGCACGGTACGTCCAGGCTGTTCTCCAGAACTTCACCACCTTCAGTGAGCTGGTGGAAATCATCTTCAATGATACCTGTGTTGAAGACATGGAGGTGTTACTGAACTACGGGAGAGCAGCTCTGGAGAGACAAGGTGAGACCA